GCAAAGGGACTTCGCCAAAATTCCAGCTTCCAACTTGTGAGTGAGGTTGCGTCTGTTCAAGGCTTCAAGCCATTGTATCTTGTAGAGAGGTTTAATTGGGATCATGTATAGTTAAACTGATTGGCTCCCAATCGTATAATTAAATTTGCATTCATGTATAGGTAACCCAAAAGGTAAAACTGATTGGCTCCCAATCAGTATAAATAATGACCAAACCAAGTACAAGGCAGATAGAAAATTCTTTTGTAATTAATTTAATGTTCCTAGGATATGGAAAGGCTTCCATGTAAAGGATTGAAAGTAGTGATTTACATTGATGAGGAGAGTGGCTTAAGTACCAACTCTTGAACAGATTGAAGCTACAAAGTAGGAGCCACTAACCCACTAACTAAAACTAATGACGTTACTAACTAATAATAATAAAATTAATTATTTACAGAAATTGAATTTATGCACAGCCCTTATCATTCCATTCCTTGAATTTCCACCAACGATGTTTTAACTCCCCTTTTAGTCAGAGAATTCATTGTAGTAATAAATACAATAAAAAGGCATACATAATTAATGGATTCTTTATTGTGTATAATTAAAAGGATATTTCACTATAAACGAAGCATGATAGATCCACAGGGGGATAAAGAAGCATGAGTCTTGATGAAAAAGGGGAAAAAAATCACCATAGATAAAAAATCATTATAATCAACCTAATTGGAACTGCTTAGAACAAAAGCGGATTAAAATCTCCCCCAATGAAATTCATTTGCAATTTCATAGGTAGTCCCTACTTCCACTTCTATAATTTTGACAAAACATTGCAATTTCATCAATAGTCCCCACTCGTGGGCCAATTTCAATTGCAACCAAATTTGCACCCTTGCAATAGCTTCTCACATCATAGCAAGTGTAGGATGCAATTGCACCTCCTTGCTTAGGGATGACCATTACTGCATCTCGTCACCTGTCTTAGGGAAATTAGCCATGGCAAATTCACAAAATACTGCATTCATAGAAAAATATTTGTCTGGATAATTAAAAAAATGGGAGACTTTCCTAGTCAGATGATGTACTGGCTCCCCTCAGTACCTGACAGTTTTGAGTGCTGGAGAAAAAGACTGGAAAAAAAAACAACGAAGCCTTACAGTAAACTTCTTAACAAAACACATCCAATGCTGGCCCCTTCACTGCTCCATCCCGCCCTGCACTGCTCCACCCCGCCCTGCATCAATCGACTCTCATGTAAGCCGAGGACGTTTGCTTGAGGATGCCTCAGGGGTCTCTTCATGCTCCGTATGCCGAAGTTCATGAAAAGTATTGGTCACTTCGACGATACGGTAGACTGGCAAATAGGCGGAATGGTCCTCCCTAGCATAAACCCCCATATCCATCCCAACCCTTCCAAGAAAGGTGGTCAAGAAGGTGGCATATGGAAAGGCAGTGTACCAGTTTTCCCCTCTAGGAGCCGCCTCAACCATGTTCACGCACATGAGAGATGCGAGGTTAAGAGGAACACCTCTTTGAGCTTGCACAAGGATAAACAGGTCAAGTGTACGAATTATCGAATGACCTCTGTACCTTGGCATGAAGCAGTTGACGATCATCCAATGGAGGAATCGAAGAGGATCTGGGAGGTAAGAAGCCTGGATGCGCCCATCCGTCAGTTTCCCCAGTTCAACTTCAAAATCAAAATCGTACAGCCGCCGAAGATCGCTTCTGCTATCAATGTGGTGTCCTGCGGCGGGGAGATCGAGGATCTCAGCAAACTGATGAGGCTGGAAGCAGACTCTATGACCCAGGAAGACCGACACGAGATGAGAATCGGAGGGACCAGACAGCTCTAAATTGTGGTAGAACTTCCTCACCGCATGCGGGCAGTAACTGGTGCTTCCTCGACTCCGGAGATCGATGAACTTTTCCCAGCCAAGATTTTTAATTAACTTCTTAACTTCTTGAGGGAAAGGACTCAGGTTGATGAACTCGTACTCGGCCACAATAGTTGTCTTGCTCGTGAATGAAAGATAGTCCGCGAGACTTGTGGTGGTTCGGCAGTCGTCGTTTGATAGAGTTAGAATGCCCATGTTTGCCATGGAGTCAGAGGAAGAAGGAACAAGGGAAGGTGAAGATATGGGGGAAAAAAAATTGTAGGGAAAGAGAGATTGTAGGTGTAAGAAAAAGTGGGGGTTGAGTGTGGAGACGTGTGATGGAGACGGTTGAGTCTGGAATGTCAAGAGTTAGAAGATTTGGGAAGATATGTAGTAATGATGATGTTAACTCGTGTAGGTTAAACTAGGGTAACTAAATCTAGTTAAACTAGGGTTGGCGCTGATACCGCAGGAGAAAACTAATGGGCTCGCACGTTCCAGGCCCAATTTTGAATATTTCATGGGTCATGTACAAGCCCACGTTTGAATGTTATTTAAAAGCCTGCAAAAATCAATGATCAGACCCAGTCCAACTAGAATTAGTCCTAAACGCAGCGTTAATACATAAACACAAATTAAGGAGACCTCTCCATCTGATTCGAATCAAATTAGGTCTTCTTCATCTCCTTCCTCAATCCTCTGGGCGAGACGAACACTGCATATCAGGAAACCTTAATTTCACCGAGAGATATAATCACAATAACGCTAAGACAAGATGACAAAGCACTAGTGACATGAACCCTAGTGTTAGCAAACCTCTTTCAAGGGTTCTTTTCCAAATGAAAAGTTCGATGAACACAATAATAGACATGGTCGCCGTAATCGTGTTAGAAAGAGATAGGCGAGGGGAAATACACTGGCGAAGAAGAAACAAGACAAAATTATTTTGGGAAATTCAATCTACGTCGAATGTGGATGGGGAGCTTCTCTTGGAACTGTGAAGGGGCGTCCCTCCAACACGAGAGAGGGATCGTGTAATTGGTTAGGGAGACTGGAAATTGGTTTGGGCGGCAGTGGGTCTACCCAATTGGGTTTGGGTCTTAATCCATTTAATTTAACCGGGGCAGTTAGTTGGACTAGGATGAAAACTAACTTAACGCGGAGGAGGCAATTTGTAATTTGTTTAGTTATTTAGTGGCGCAGCTAGGTTTAACAAACGTGAGCCGTGGAGATTGAAAACGAACGGTTAAGATCGGCCAAGGCACCCGTACCCGGGTTTTGCCCTGGGCACCGTAGAAGTCACCATATATATATATATAGTGCCGTCTTCGGTGCACTCACTTGAATGCACCCGCTTCATAACCGTCATTTTAAACATGCGATTTATGTCAAAATGATGTCAATCATCACTTATGATGTGGTGAACAATAACGCATATGAATTTGCACAAAAACCATTGAAGATTACTTTAATTTGAAGGATTTAGAGTTTAGAGATTTAGGGTTATGGTTAGGGTTTACAATTTGGGGTTTAGGGATAGAACTCAAAATTGGAGGTCTAAGGCTTAGGGTAATCCGCTAATTAGTTGTTAACATATGTTATATCATCATATTACACTAATTCTACAAATTAAAATTCAAAATCAGACACCTTAAGCGTAGTTTTTTAGTTGGGTGCATTGAACGCACTCATTTTTGTGAGTGAATCCCTAACTCCGGTTAATTCATTGTCTAAATAGCAAAACTCAACGGGCGTACAGTAGGCTAGGGTACGTCCGGGCGTACGCTAGCCTTTGCCATATATATATATATATTTGGTAGAGGAGTTTCATTACTTAGAACATATCAAACTCTCAGAAAAACATCGACGGTCACGGGAAAATTCGTCGGAAGATAATCGGGAAAGTTAAACTGCGCACACACATCCATGAATCAGCACTAAGCAGGTGCGTCGATTTTGGAGTTTGATCAATTTTCCAGCAATTTTGGACGGCAAACAGTGGGCCAAAAAAAGCAGTAGGCTGGAACCTGGCCGGGTTGGAAAATCCCGGCGGCCAGAACATGGTCGGGCCGACAAAAATCGGCGGTCGGAACCAGGCCGAGCCAAAAAATTCCTTCGGCTCAGCCTGGTTACGGCCGCCGGTTTTCGTCGGCCCGGCCAGGTTCCGATCGCCGAAATTTTTTTGGCCGACGGATTTTTTCAGACCGCCGTCTGCCTTTTTACATTTTCGGACGAATTTTCATTTAGGAGTTGAATTTAGCGTTTAAGAGTTGAATTTAGCGTTTAAGAGTTGAATTTATAGTTTAAGAGTTGAATTTAGCTTGTTTTAACAGTTTAATTTATAGTTTATGAGTTGAAATTAGTGTTTAGGAGTTGAAATTAGATTTTAGGTTCATAAGATTATTGATGTGTTATATTGTTATTGTAGGAGAAATGTCAGATTTGTTGCCGCCCGATTATGATTACACACAGGAATTTGAGAAAAGGATCCATTATGCTAGTGTGGAGTTAGCTGAGGATGCTGCAAAAACAATCGCTCAATCGTGTGGGTTCTTTATTATCCAAGGGGCATGAAAACCGGATAATGAAACACAGCATCCTGTTACCGCCCTATATATGTATTACGACAGAAACAGTAGGATCGAGAAGTCTTATACACCAGACCCTATGAAGGAGAGTCGTGGGAATACTAGTTCGAAGGGTACTGGATGCCAGTTTCAGATATGTATTAAAGAACTATGGCAAGAGCATGATCCAAATACATGGGTTATAGTAGGAGTAACCAGTCGTGCAACTGGAGCTAGACGAGGGATTGACACTTGATTTGCGAGAAACCACAACTACATGGAGCATAAGTTTGTGGAAGTGGTGAATGAACTGCACAAGTCACTCAATCGCAATCTTGGCAGGGCAATCGAGCCTCCATGCACGTTTTTTAGGAGGGTTGTTAGTTATGAGGCAATCAAACTGATGTTAGATGGGGCTGCGGAGTTGGTGGACAATATTGCTTGTCATGTTCAGACGACACTTAGGCTGAACTGTGCTTGCCAGGTTGTTAGAGCAAAGGAGAAAGGACGTAAGTTCTATGCTCAGGAGTTGCATGTATTCTGGGACTTTGAATTATCAAAACCCGTCGTTGCAAGAACAATTGATGAAATTGAGCTTCAACGACAACATTTTAAGCGTCTTATCGTTGAGGTGGAAGAGAGAGGTCCTGAAGCAGTGAGACAGGCAAGAGATGCACTATTCTATGGGCTTCGCCCGGCAGAGGACAATGTGAGGGAACCAAAAATGAATGAGACGACGAGAGGTCGGCCTCAAACTATCACCAGTCGCATTCATTCATATTGTGAGAGGTCTAATCGATCTCGTTCGAGGAGTGGGGGGCCCAGATCGAGTGGAGGCAGGTCGAGTGGAGGTAGGTCAAGATCGACTGGAGGCAGGTCCAGATCGACTGGAGGCAGATCCCGATCGACTGGAGTTGAATCTGACGAACACGATACATGTGAGTTTCTAGTCTAAAATTTTAATATTTTGGTATTATTGAACATAGATGATTTATGTTTGTAAATTTTGTACAAGTATTAATGACCTTTTGGTATATGTTTCTAGATTACTCATCCCAGAGCACCAAAGGTCAAATATTCTTACATTTTCATTGAGCAACTTTATCCAGAGTTTGTTCGGCTTTTGTTGATAGGCGACTTCAACCCTAGTTCAGACGACAACTGTGGTTTTAGGGCACTTTCTCATTATATAATGGGGGATGATAGTCACTATCTTCTCATGAGAGTAGAGCTTATCTAAGAAATCCAACGACATCCTTGGAAGTACGAGAACTTGTATAATGGTGGTACAACATATGCACTGAACCGCATCAACTGGCTCGAGCCCGGTCATGCACCAAATGGGAGATGGATGGATTCTGAGGACCTGTATGTGTTTGCAACCATCTACAATGTCGCAGTCCTTGTCTTCTCATACGAGTTGTTCGATGCCCGTAATCCAAACAATCCACTACCCAACCTCTGCCTTGATGCCTACACTGTATTGCATATTAATGCGAAAGAAGGTACATTACCACCAACCATGTATTTATCACTGCACTACTTGAACAACCACTACATTCGATTGTACTTCAACCATGATCAGTTTCCCATACCGCCTCTACATCCACAGTGGTAAGGGCTAGCACATCCCAATGTGGTGGCGGAGTGGGGAACCAGTCTCCAGGCTGTACAAGATTTGTGGGTGGGTCTTGGTGGTCGCCAACGAGCCCGGCAGAGAGACCCTGTAGAGTTAGGGGTAGTAGCAATTCATAGTTTTTTAGTGCTTTATTTGCTTGTTTAGGGCCGGGCAGGCGAGGCCTGGCCGAAATTTTTTTCCGGCTGGCGCGTCACCGGGTTGAAGGCAAGTTTCGGCTGGCACCTGACCGGAATTTTTGGCCGGCCCGTCGTATTTTCACCGAAAAAATGAAAATTTTGCCGGAAAAGAAACTTACCTTCTTCCTTTGTCGGCGATGGTGAGACGGTGACCTGCGAGTGGGAAATGGTGCCGGCAACGGAGGCACTAGGCTCGGCGACAGAAGTTTGTTTGGAGTTGTGAAGTTTGTGAGTTTAGTTACGATTTATTTATAGAATTGTAGTGTTCAAATTTTGAATTCAAAATTTTTTTTGTTGACGGAAAATAGCAATTTGCTTGGCGGCAAATAGCCATTCACGGGGAAAATGGGGAGGTTCGGGGAGATTGAATTCCACCCGTGAGAAATTTATATTTATTTTTTATTTTCCTTTCTCTTAAAAACTAATCAAACAATTTTGTATTTTATTTTTCTTAGAGTCCACCTAAGTGCTTATGTGGCGCTGACTGAGATTTTAGTAATAAACTAACGGCAAAACTAACGGAGGTTACACAAATGGCATATTGAAAGCCCACAACAATCAATCACCGACATAGGATATTGTTTCTAGGTTTCTTCAAGCTTATGGAGCTGTTTGGGAGCTTCGATCTCAAATATGGTGTTGACGGGAGTTTGATGGAAAATTGGCGTTGGCCGCGGAGAGAAAATATCTCCTAACCGAATTAGAACACAATCAACACATTGAACGTAGATAGGAAAAAGGTTAAAGAGAGAGTCGGAAAGGGACCGGAGATTAAAATCCAAATGATGTCCAAGTAAGAGAAGAAGCGGGTTGGATCATGTCCTTAAGTCTAAAACTTAAGGAGTTTCTTAAGTTTTTATTGGCCAATAAGAAAAGGAGAGAGAAAGTGAGGTCTAACCACCTAAAAGTGCAAATAAGGTTATATTAATTAAATATTACTATTTAATAGTAAATGAAATTCAGAATTGAAATGGAAATTCGTAATTAATATTTAAAGCTTTAAAAAAGAAAATTCAAAATTCAGAATGTCTACACTCTCTTCCCGTGGCAACTTTTAATAAAATTATTAAAATTTGCAATTCCATTATCAATGTTTAAGAAATGAATTATTATTTATATACGACATCATTGTTAACAATATCAGTATATACTTATCAATGTTTTACGGTTACATTATTAATGATTTTAGTTCAATTGCTAACTTTTACATTTCTGCCATCAACGATTATTAAAGGGTTGAATAATATTATCATGGATTTACAACTTCATTATTAGGAATCACTTTTTAATGTTTTGTGCATAATTAGCTAATCATGGTCTCCTACTATGACTTTCAATGACATTGTTGACGTTTTGGAATCAACTGATATTGGTTTACATTGTCGTTTACATCGATCATATATCATACCACTTATTTTTAACATCTTTGACATCTATAACATATTGCATATGTGATTTAGTCAACCAAACATTAGTTAATGGAGGTGTAAAACATCAATCAAGCAAACCAATATTCGATCATATATCATCCAAAACATACATATGAATGTTGTATTTCGTTCAAAACTAAAACAACAATATTATCAATGATGTATTTATCATTGAAAAATGACATCAAGTCGATAATACGAATATTGAAGACCGTTAATAATGAATGAGCAAGTCATTGATCATGAAAGTGAATTTCTTTGAAAACCAACATAAAATTATTAATAATGTTCGAATAACATCATGTATTCCATTTAAAATAATATTGTATTTCATTCAAAACTAAAACTAAAATGTTAACAATAATTGGCACATTATTATTAATAGTTTGAATAATAATGTGAAGCCGAAAACTTATGTTTTCATCATCAAGAAGTAACTATTAAAGTTATGTCATATTATTATTAACACTTTGAATAATTTTATCATTGATTTACAATATCTTTATTAACGATTCATGTTTGCACATTATGTCCATAACTAGTCAATCATGGCTTTTACAATGACTTCTAATGATATTATTAACTTTTTGCAATTAATTATTAACGATTTACATTATCATTCTTAGCGTGTATGAAGTTAATTTTTATCCATCATTGTTAACGATTTCTCATCATTTTTTATCGTAAACCTCTCAACGTGCGCAACAAAATATCACCGAGTGGGAACCACCAATAGGGAGAGGAGAGAGAAGGGAGGAAGGTAACTACCTAAAAGGGCAAATGGGGAAGTTTACTTAATTATTTAATGTTATTAATAATTATATTTATTTCTGGAATATGCTTAATTGACTACAAAGTACAAACACGTCACTTCCCATTTGCAACAACCGCTTCTCTCTTCGTCCGGAAAAAAAGCCCCAATCCCATAACAGCTTCTCTCTTGGTTAAAAATGGATAAGTTTATGATAATAACCGTGATATGAAATAAACTTAGGATAGTTAACAATAACACGAATCGCTATTAACACAGTTGTACCTCTTTATTGGCGCCTAATACACCTATTAGCAATAGTTGTATAGTACTAAGGTAGGGTATTACTAAACGGGTTATTAACGGGTTCGGCAGTTTGTGAAAAAATAGTTTGCTACATGTGTAGATGTTTACGTTTAACTTTGTTGATAATTGAACTATTTTGATTAAAAAATGAATAAGTTTTTATTAATAATAGTAACACGAAGTGAAAGTAAGGTGTTATTAACACAATTCGGCAGCAATTATTAGCGGCTAGTAGCACAATTAGTAATCTTCATTATGACATTAATAATGTATAATAATATTGGTTGACGACGTGGTTGAATATTATTAAAATTGTAACGTTATTTTGTTAATAACGTTGTTGAAAAACCTCAAATTGAAGGCTTCGTTGATTGTCATAGCGATGTAGTCGTCGGTTAATAATTACCATACTATGATTAATAATAGTATCATTGCCGGAGATGCTCCATTGTGGATGAGCCTCGATGACATCCCCGTATCCACCAACGCCTCTGACGGGAAAAGATCCATGAACACGGAGGGAGTTGTGTTGAGGATATTAATTACTTAGTCCAAGAAATTAATTCATTGTACTTCAAGTCCCTTGTTTCCTTGTCCATGTAAAAGAAGGAGACTTGGTTGTCATTAGGGTTTTAACCCTAATGTTTATCTCTATATAAGCTTAGCTACGAGATTGTCGTAAGCAAGGCGTCACAATGTAGTCTCTAATAAAATATCAGTCGTGAGCTCGTTCCGAGCTCACCGTGGATTAGTCTCGATCAATCAATCGATCGAGGATAACACGTAAAATCTTGTGCTCGTTTCATCTTCCACATTATCAAATTCTTCAAGTTGACTCGCGAGGAGGAAAATCAGCAGAGTCTCGCCTGGTGGTGGTTGCTGGAAGTATCGAAGCGGCAGCCAACAAAAAAAAAAAAAGAACCACCGCCGGCGACGAAAAGCTTGTGGCGGTGGATTTTGTGGCTTTTGACATCCTTCACAATGGCAAGGGCGCCAATTGAGAGGGATTGGGGGTAATTGATGAGTGCAGTCCTAATTATTGGCTTTTTAATTTTTAATTAATTAATATCATTAATACCCTAATTATTCTTAATCGTCAATAACTACTAGTAATCTATTGACCGCATAAATTTTCATCAACCAATAAGAATGGCTTAAGATAATTCTTAAGTTAGTAGGCTTAAGGACCTGAACCTATCCCGAGAAGAAGAGGAAGCAACAATGGCAAAGAAAGATTCGGAAAGAGAGGAAGAGAAGGTTGCTCTGTTGGGGGCAATTAAGAACAAAGGAAGTGGGGCTTATTGGCAACTTTGTAATTTCACTTTTACTATTAAAAACCCTTAGGGTGTGCCTACGGTGACATGCATGTCACGGTGACTTGCACTTTCCGGTCGACCTCAGTTAGGATTAGGTCGACCTCATTTAGAATTCGGTCGACCTCATATAGGATCTGGTCGACCTCATTTAGGATTCGGTCGACCTCATATAGGACCAGGTCGACCTAATCCGTTGTTTCAGTGTAAAAACAGTTCATGGTGCCTACTTTGGATATTCATATCATACAATTGGCTAGATGAAAATTGAAGACTAATGACTTATTTTGAAGCTGGAGTGTCCCTCTACATATTGAAGTGACTGAGAGCTCGATAGGAAGTCCAGAAGACCATTTTTGAACCTCATCAAAAGGCTATGCCAAAACTGGGAAACTGCCTAAAAATGGCTAAGTCTGGAAACGTGTTTGTGAAGCCTATTTTGGAGCTCAATTCGAGACGCATGAATGCGAGTCGAGTCCAGGAGCTTCTACCACATTAAATATGTATGTTTTTATACAAATTCAATGCATTGGATGAAAGATTGGATATCTGTAAGGCTTCAAACAAAAGGGTCAAAGTTGCTATGAAGGCTGTTTTTCTGGCAGACTTCGAGCACAAGCAAGTTGCCAGAAAAACAGCCTTCGTAGCAACTTCGAGCCTTTTGTTTGAAGCCTTAAAGATATTCAATCTTTCATCCAATGCCTTGCCTTTGTATGAAAAAATACGTAATTTAACGTGGTAAATACCCCTGGACTTGACTTGCATCCATGCTTCTCAAATTGAGCTCCAAAGTAGGCTTGACAAACACGTTGCCAGACTTGGCCATTTTCAGGCAGTTTCCCAGTTTTGGCATAGCCTTTTGGTCAGGTTCAAAAATGGTCTTCTGGACTTTCTATTGAGCTCCCAAGTACTGTAATGTGTAGAGGGACACTTCAGCTTCAA